CGTTTAGACTCTTTAAAGGAAAATACCATTTTGAACTATTAAAAGTTTGCATTATGCATAACAGATCAGACAAATGCCAGAAGACAAAACACAACGAAGAAAAGAATCCTTCAAAAAACTCCATTCAGCTCTACTTACCTAGTCTTACCTAAAGAAAATGTATAAGGCTGAACATTGAAAAAGAACTTCTGTACATAAACTAAACTATTGCTTCTGCCTTAGGCTTTACAGTCTACTGATTATGGCATACGTTTTGCCCCATGAAGTCTGTGCACAGAACTCTGCGTTAGGAGTCTCTTCCTTGTCATCTTGGTGAATGGGGACCCTCTAGATTTGCTCTAGAACTAGCTCTCTCTTAGTTTCACAGATTCTTTTCTGTATCCAGGATTCTTTCTCTTATCCTTTGGATCAATATCTTTTTAAGTATGCAGAATGAGAGGGGGTAAGAAATTCATCTTTTATTAATAGCTAAGAGGCATGATCCAGTTTACTATCCTTTCAATATTTAAGAAAAAAATCTTAATAGTTATTATTTTCTTGTCCGAAAGGAACAGATGAAATGAAAATTAGACATGTATGTGTGAAACAAAGAGTTGATCTTTTGAATGATGCATTACTGATTCCAACTGGCTTTGCTTTTCAGATAGAGGATGAGTTACATCATTTTATTTTCAGGAGGTTGTAACTTATTCTTAGTTTTAAAAAGTAAAAAGAATATTGCAATCCTTTATTGTGAATCTTCACTAGAGCACACATTCTCCCAGAGTGGGGGCCATATCATTACATCTGAGTATACTCTATGATGCTATGCACATGGTAAAAAGCTAATACATGTTTAGTGAATGAATGAATAAAGCATTGTATCTAAAGGACAGATTTGAATAAATAAGTAGACAAATGCATTTCATAGAAGGTTTGCAAAGTACACATAAATGACTAATGAAATAGGACATGCACATTCCTAGGAAAGAAACATCCAAGTTTACATTCAGGGGTTGTATATTTCATATTTAATAGTGTAGTTATAAATCAAATAACTGGAAAAAATTATAATAATGACATTTCTCCACATATCTGTGTTATTTCCTTTATTAATTTATTTATACACACCTTGTCCTGTTCCACAGCAAGTTTTAGTACGGGAACTTACAAATCAAAGGATAAGATATATGCATAGAAATGCATACCTTTCATGCTGCACAGTTGCTAAAAGTGGATTCACGTTTTAACTGACTATGCCGTAAGACTCACGAGTGAAAGGAGCTGTTTCATCACTAAGCTATAGTGCATTTACAAACCATTTCCCACCTATAGCAATTACTTTTACAACCAGTTTTTTATAAAATTTGCTACTAATGATTCTTACATGATACAGTATGATCGGAACAGCTGAAAACATAAGTACACATAAAATGTTTACAGTACTTAGGTATAGCGTAATGAAGACTTCTAGCTGCTGCCTTCTTATAAATCAGTGTTTGCAAGCCCCTTGTTAATTCCACACTCTACTGACCATGCCGGTGTTGAAGGGATATGTGGAAATGGGAATACTTACCCATCACTGTTGGGAATGTAAACTGGTACAAGCACATTCGAGATCAGTTCTCCAATGATCTCCAGTGATACTTAGTAATTTCTTAATATTTACTAGTACTTAGTAAATTCTGCAGTGATACTTAGTAAAAGTCAGGATCTTTATAGTCCATAAGCCAGCATTTTCATTTCTAGATATACACCACCTTCAAAAGACTGCTACACATGTGCATAAAAACCATACTGCCTTATATACTGGAAACAGTCTAAATTACCACCGAGAGGACAATATCCATAAAATGTAATAACAGGTAGTGGCTAAAAACAAATGTAAAGGTATGTATTATAATGTATTTTATTTTTCTTTAAATTTTTAATGTTTATTTGTTTTTTGAAAGAGAGACAGAGACAGAGCATGAGCAGGGAAGGGGCAGAGAGAGAGGGAGACAGAATCCAAGCAGGCTCCAGGCTCTGAGCTGTCTGCACCAACCCTACATGGGGCTCGAACCCACAAACCGTGAGATCATGACCTGAGCCAAAGTTGGATTTTGAACCAACCGAGCCAGGTGCCCCGCATTATAATGGATTTTAGAAGACATAGTTTCAACTGAATAAAACGTGCTTTGCAATTATACCTCAATATAAATAAAGGGAAACAAATAATTCCTTCTCATTCCACATAGGTATGTATATATTCAATTATATACATACATATGTATATATTTATATATGTATATATTTAACTTTTTAGAACCTATAATTTTATAATACAATGAAAATAATCATGAAATATTCTTAGAGTTAACTATTCCCTTCCTTGGTCCTTGGTCCTGCCTCAGGCCTGTAGGCTTACATCTTTTTCCATCCCCATCCTTTCCCCAAAGGAGGCTGTTTGAAGCATAATGCAGTTTTTGTCATAACAGGGAGCTTATCAGTCACTCTGTGAATTTAAATGATGTGCAGTTTCTCCCTTCATACTGAGGGAGACTCTCTTGGTGAGCCTTTTCAGACATGAAAATTTGAGTCAAGTATCTAACCATGAAGTAATTAAATAATGGGGAAAGTTCTAAACAATGATGTAATGTTGACTAAACAGCTCTTCAGAACAGCTGCAATATGTCCTGCAGAAAGGCCATGGGTGGTGGGGGTGATTGCACTGAAATAATGATGCAATTTTTTCTATTTCCTTTTGACTAAAGCTGAAGTTGAGGGTGACCAGAGGCCCTGCTTTTAGAAGGGACAAGGACAGGCAAGGCAGAACACCCCCATGAAATGAGCAACGCCCAGGGAGCGGAGCAGCAGGGCAAGGCTCAAGAGAGGGCAGTTTCCTGCGAAGGGGCAGACCCGTTGTCTTGTTTGTTTTCTGACAATTCATTTTTAAGTCTCCTTTTTAGCACTGCTTTCCCCGGGTTTACATCTGTTAGACACTCCCACCTAGTATTGGCTCTACTTTGTGGAATCAAGCCAGACAATGGGAAAACTACAGCCTGATGGCAAAGGGAAGCTGGTATTGACGCTGCTTGAAACAGTCCAGGGCTTCAAAGCACAAAGCTGAGAGGTCAGGGTGAGCGGTCTCAGCACTGAGCCAAAGAGCAGGGCAGTCCTGCTTCTGCGCAGACAGCAAGTGTGAGAAGACGGGGATTGAGGGCACCAAGCAGGTGGAGTTGAATGACCACAGCAACCACAGTGGGAGAGGAGGTGAGGCCCTGTCTGCACGAGCACTTGGTAACAGAACACTTCAGTATCCGAGAGGTCCATCACAAGGGTTTGTGACCCTTTTTTAGAGAAAGGCTGGGAAACAGAAAGGAATGGAGAGAAGGGGAAACCTCAGGCTGGTATCTACTGGGCCTTTGAGAAGTAAAAGCAGTATCAGAGCCGTCTTTGGCAGGACAGAGAGAGAAAGCATAAAGAAAGAAATGGGCACTCCCTGTACCACACCAAGTTAGGCGGCCTGAAAGTTCTCCCTTGCAGGTTAAATATTGTAAGACTCCCTCAGTCAGTCGTATGACCATATCCAAATACACGGATGGTTGGCCTTATACAGGCCAAAATATGCATTTAATTGGCTTAGATTTTTATCTCAAAATTAGTGCTCTGTAGCAAGTCAAAATTAACTAGTCAATTATGACCATAATTTAAACTACCAGATTTGCTAGTATTAATAACAACTTAGTTTCTTTGGAATACAGTTTTTTTCAACTGCCAAGGGCAAACAGTAAGAAATATAGGAAACATATAATTTAATTAACATACTAATCATCTTTATTCACTTTTTCAGCAAAATTACAAGTCAGAGAACGGTAGCTCTTCAACCCCAAATACTTCAAAACAACAACAATAAAAAGAAAAATCTCTGCCCAATAAGAAGAACATAAACTTTTGGCTATCAACAACCTGTGGGAATGACTTTATAATTTCTCATTAAAAGCTATCTTTTATCAGGCCACTTAACTATTTTTAAAAGTAGACAGTGTTATTTATAACCCAGTATATCTTGCAAGTTCAACCTTAGCAATTCATGCCATCCACGGCAATTGACTTGAGGAGCAAAATCTCCATGGTCACCTGCATTTAGAAAGATGAGCTGTCTATTCAAGGTTACGGGGTTTTCTTTTTCCCCTCAGTATGCAATACAGTTAAATATCACCAGTGTTTCCATTAACTTTGAGAAGTTATTGAAGGCTTGTATTTTCAAATGTGTCTGATTCATCAGATTCAATTAAATAGGAAAATACAGGGGCGCCTGGGTGGCTTAGTCGTCTAAGTGGCCGACTTCGGCTCAGGTCACAATCTCCAGTGAGTTCGAGCCCCGTAGGGATCTGTGCTGATGGCTTGGAGCCTGAGCCTGCTTAGAATTCTGTGTCTCCTTCTCTCTCTGCCTCTCCCCTGCTGACGGTCTGTCTCTTTGTCTTTCAAAAATAAATAAATGTTTAAAAAAATGAAAATGAAAATACAGATTTATTTATTACATAAATAGTTAGGGATAATCTACTTCCTGCTTATTTGCTTTTGGGGGAGAGAACATGAAAAAAATCCCAAGAGAAAAATAATACTGAAGTTCAAACATTTTCAAAATATAAAATATTATATTTAGAACTATTAGGAACTTACAAAGGATAGAAGAATGTATCATAAAAAAAGAAAAATGTGTCATAGACTCTGGCACAGAAGTTTTCTAGGAAAATAAAAATTTCTTTTATTTCTTAAAAATAAGACTCTTAAAATGAATCTTCCTTCCTGGTTTTTATTATTTTTAAATTGTTCCTTCAGCCACCAAGAGATGGTTTCTGAGTAGTGCTTACCTTTGGTGATAGCTTTGTCTCCCCCTGTTGTCCAAAGTGATACATCACTCTGGAAACAAGACGCTCACTTCCTCTGTTATTTGTAAGCTGACATGAAGTAGACAGACACCTTCTGAAGTTTTATGCATGCTGTGTTTTTTCTTCTTGCTGCAATAAGAAAAGCCTTTCTTTTAACCTGGCTGCCTTTGAAGAAGTGACTCAGACATCCTCATGGCCTGTAAAGGTAAGAGTAAATAGAGCCAGCTAATAAATTTTTCCTTATTTATGACTAAAAATATGCAGTTGTAGGGATGTTATAATCAGTGAGATTGATACTTTAAAACCTGTCACTTATCACTTTTGACCACTGGAATTTTTAACTTCAAGGAGCTTGTTCCATTAAAAAACAAACAAACAAACAAAAAAACCCACTACCTGATTGAATGCAAAAGTTAAGATACAAACAATGTTTTAGTTATCATGAATATAAACATAATGAATTAATAAGAAAAGCTGCATAGCAGAATTTAGAAGGGCAATATTTAATGCCAAACACAAGGACAGGCTGATATTCCAAGTTTAAAGGGATTTGGAGAAAACTTTTCACAGATAAGTTAAAAAGTGTTACAGTTCAATATTTTTAAACATCCTATTTGTTGTTTAAGATGTGTGATAAACTCATTTATTATAAAGAATTCAATATGTGTTATTGGTAAATTCTAATAAATGTACTGGACTAATAGTAAATATTTCTGAGCAACAATCTTTCAAAAGTTCTTTGACAGTAAATTATATATAAAAAAACAAACAGAAAATAAATAATTTAAATAAGCAGATTAATTAGGGATTTTGTAGGAGGAGCTGGGAATTTTCTCAAGTCCCTACAAGTACATAAATATCATTAGTGCTGTTTAAATAACTTCTCAAAAGACAAGAGATATGGATTTTTTTTAAGTAATGAGTTTTAACCTCACTAAAACCACTTGTGAAATTATATAAATTGAAATTATAATGTGTTTTCATTTCATTATCAGAACAAACCATTAAACTCTAGCCTATAATAAAAATTTTTAGCATGAAGCATGATGATTAGTATAATTGGATGACACCTTTTGACCTAATCATAAACAGGATAAGAGAGTCCACCAATTTAAAATATCCTAAATTAAATTAGTGAAGTATTCAAAGAAGCACATATGCTTATATACACTTTTGGATGCTATTTAATATGGAACAGAGGAGGTAATCTTTTCATTTTTCTTCAACATTTAAAGTATACCAGTCCCTGAGTATCACAGAGAAAGCTCAAACCAACTGTAAAATATAGACATGAAACAACAAAATCATGAATTTTAATATATTGTGTGTCTCATTTTTATACTTGAAGATGAACTAAAAAAATCTTGACAAGTCTTTTCTTTCATTGAAGACTGACACTAACAGTTAATCCAAAACACTTCATCACTTTATACGAGTTACAGCAACAACAGTAGTCTGTAAGGTAAAGAGTTGCAGAGTATGTGAAATATTTATAAGCTAGTTATACATTTTTAAAAGAGTAGATAGAAATTCAAAGCCAGATAGAAATTCAAAGGAGTTCCATCTTTATCTGGTGGTCTGAGTCTTTGAAGAAACTTGTGACTGGAAAGCAATAGTAAGATCAAAATATGATTAATCTACAAAAAAAGCAGTGATGTTCAGTAATGATAAAGACTCACCACTAAACTTAGAGGCAAAACTTTAGATGGAAAACCAATACTCCTGCAACCTACTCCAAATAGCACATGAAGTGGGCAAAACATCTGTTAGAGACTCTATTCTATTTAAAAGAAATGAAAATGAAGCTTCCTTTTGAATCAGAAATCTAGTTTGAGGGGGCAAGTCAGATTATCATCATTACTTAAAACTTTTGGTAGACAGGGGCGCCTAGGTGGCTCAGTCTGTTATGTGTCTGACTTCGGCTCAGGTCATGATCCTGGTTTTTATTTGTTTGTTTGTTTTTGTTTGTGAGTTTGAGTCCCACATTGGGCTCTGTGCTGACATTTTGGAGCCTGGAGCCTTCTTTGGATTCTGGATCTCCTTCTCTCTCTACTCCTCCCCTGCTCTCACTCGGTCTCTCTCTCCCTCAAAATAAACACTGAAAAAAAAAAAAAGACCATTTTGGTAGACAGTTTTCTTCAATTATGTTGCAGGACATTATGTATAATATCATGGATGTACTCTGGCCGATGAACTGTATGGGCAATTATTATTTTCCAAGGGAATTCAGGGTAATTGTATAGTTCACACATTTTGTGGGCAGTTCAATCAGCACCTCTAAACCAAAGGACAGTCTGAATACTAGATGCCATTAGCACTGAAGAAATATTTGTGTGGTCAGGAGTCCCGTGGTCTAGTATAAATAAACACAATTTAAGAAAAATTTTGTCCCAAATTTTTAAGTTTGAGAAAAACAAGAGTTTCTAGGATAATCTAAACTGAACAGGAGATATCTCTAAGAGCTGCTCCAATATGAACTGAAATCCCAGAAAAGGAAGCACGTGATGTCACAGCAGTGATCCCAAATGAGACTCCACTCAGACTTTGGATGTGATCTTGCCCTGGGCTCCAAATACACTACTGTTTCTGGACCTGTTATGAGATCTAAGGACCCAAAGACCTTGGTACAGCCAAGGTCTGTGTACAGCCACACACAAGAAACTCAATCAATAGTCTGCATTTCATCACAGCAAACATAGCTTACAAGATAAAATGGGAGTAATTTGCTAATCTTTCTAACAATAAAATTGATGAGAGAGAATCTTATAATCTTCTGCGAGCTATTATTAGAAATTGATCCCTTGGTGGTGCCTGGGTGGCTCAATCGGTTAAATGTCCAATTTTGGCTTAGGTCAGGGTCTCACAGCTTGTTAAGTTGGAACCCCACATCAGGCTTTGTGCTGACAACATGGAGCCTGCCTCAGATCCTGTTTCCTTCTCTCTCTCTGCCCCACCCCCAGCTCGCTTTCTCTCTCTCTCTCTCAAAGGTTGAGAGAGTAATGTTTAAGTAAACACTACAAACATTTAAAAAATTGATCCCTATATATGCTTTTTTTAATAGAAGGATAACATGTGTAAAGTGCATAAAGAGCACAAAACTTAAGTACATTATTTTTTTAAGTGGGCTCGCCCCACATAGGGCTTAAACTCCTGACTGTAAGATCAAGATCTGAGCTGAGATCCAGAGTCAGAAACTCAACCGAATGAACCACCCAAGTGCCTCAGGTTTATTTTTTAAACAAAGAGCATTTGCAACCACCAACAAAATTAAGATATAGAACATTTTTGGCACTTCAAAAAGTTCCCTTTCTGGCCATAGTCCTACACCTCCACATTCAGGATGAACTTCTGTCTGCAATTTTATCATTATAAACTAGTTTTCCCTACATCACAGTTTTGCCTCTCTTTTTCTTTGGAAACTGGAAACAGTTTATATCAATGTTCAAAGGATCATTCATTGGATGCCCATGTTCCTTCACCATGTTCCTTCTCCAAGAACTCATTCACGCTATGCTTGAATTCTCTTAATAGTGGAGAACTTACTATCTCCAAAGGAAACAGTCCTTTCTTCCCATTTATTTTTTAGAGATTTAAAGAATTCTAAAAACTACACCCCCACATACATACAACTTACCCAGATTTAGTATCAGTGCTGAAGGAAGGCCATTCTAATCTACTGAGAATTATATAGATGTCACTGCAACTGTAATATATGTTCAGTGAGGGTACTTTTCCAAATCTGTGTGCGGCTGTTTTAAATTTCTTCCTTAGAGTAGACCAGAATAATTTTCCTTGTCCTTCCCATTCATATGTCCTTAGAATAGTGTCAATAATTTGTTTTCATAATGGCCCCTTAATATTTGAAAATAACTATCATGAATCTTGATGCATACCTATGCTCAAACTAAGACAGCATAGTGTTGTCAGACTAAATGAATGCAGATGTGAGAACTCCAATAATTTATGGATTAATAAACATGAAGAGTAAAATCTCTGATAGTCTTTCGGAAAAGAAAATGGTATTCAATTAGGTAGTAATCCAAATGGCAGTCATGTGAAAAGAAAAAGGAAAAATAATAGAAGGCTGTAATTTATATTTTTTAAAAAGAAGACTTTTTCAAGTATTATTAGGGCTTATACATAATACTACACAGGCTCCCAACTAATGCAGCAAATATCTAAATGTTAAGCTAACAGATAAGTGAAATAGTAACATTTTTGCCTGGTAATAATAGAGAAACCAGGCAATTCTCTAAAAGAAATCAAAGCCAAACATTACAGAATTCTGCAATTATTTTATCTTTTGTATCACTGAGTAAGCTACAAAGGGATTCACACTGTCAAAAATTTTGGGGTGCTTTATTTCAAAGTACTGAGAAATCAAAGCTTCATTAGATATTATATTACTCTTAAGCTTATAAATTAGTTTTGAGTATTCTCATAGCATATAGAATTAAACCACTAGTTCTCAAAGTATATAGTCAGAGAGGCAGTATTAGCTCACCTGGAAACTTAATAGAAATGGAAATTCTCAAGCCTCACCTCCAACCCCAACTCCTGAATGGGGCTCCGGAATTTGTGTTTGAACAAGCCCTCCAGGTGCTTCTGGTATAGCTGAAAAAATAAGCACCTGAATCAAACCTAGCTATAGCAGTAGGATTGATTAAAAGTGATAAAATAGCCTCAGCAATTACAAGGTACCCTCATAATATTTGGGGAAGTGAGACTATGCCTGGAAACTTATGATTCAAAACTTGTGTCTAAGGTTATCCTTTTAGGAGTAGAGAATATCTAGTCCCTTTTACCATTTCACTTTGGGGTTTATAATTTTCCAGCTCTTTGAACAGAAGTTTAACTTGCCTTCCAAAAAAATATCTTTGGAAACCATTTATTTTGCCCAAATTATCCAACATTTTTCTCACAACCACTACTAGCAGCCTTCCGCATTCCTTTTCCTCTGGTTTAAGGGGTAACCGTAATGGTAACAGTAAATAGGGAAAATGCAGGAAAGGGTAGTAGAGAGAGGAGACAGGAGATCATTGGTCCTCTGAATTCAGAAGTCACAGATATCATGAGAAACATAAGTGAAACGGCCTACATTTAAATATGGGCTGAGATTTTCATTCTCTTGCAGATGCACAGAACCAAAGAAGTAGAGGTCTGCCTGGCTTTCTTCCTGGAGCTCCAGACCCTGAACGCAGCTTTCACCTCTCACTTCCCAGTCCAGAAAACCAAGTGTGGCAGCCAGCTCTCTCTCCGCCAGGCAGCCTCCCTCCTGGGCTAGAATATTTAAGCCAGGTGTTTTTTATCTCTCTATTTCTACACGTTTGCCCCTTAAAATGAACACGAACCTGGTTTCTTGCTTTTCAACTGATGAGGTTTTGGGATGATGACGGGTTTAAAGCTGACAGCCAAGAAAGAATTCTTGAAGATGGCTTTGGTGCAAAAAGGGGATTTTATTAAAGCACAGGAACAGGACTGGTGGGCAGAAAGAGCTGCCCTGGGGCTATGACGGGTAACTAATTACATACCTTCAAGTTGGGAGGGCGTTAGGGATAGAGTAAGTCACTAAGGAATTTTGGAAGCAAGGTTTCCAGGACCTTGAGGAGCCAGCTGCTATTAGGAAAACACCTTTTATTACAGTTTAGTAAAACCTCAGTCATGATACCCTTCAGGTGTGTATCAGGGAGCCATAACCTTGGAGTATGATTGCCGCATATATGTATCTTGGGGAAGCTGAGAAAAAGGTAGTTTCCAAAGGAATTTTTATATGTTAAAGTAGACTGACAAGATCCTGGGGGGTCAGGATAATGTTAAATCAAGATTCCCTTTTGCCCCCAGCGAAGTGTCATCATTAAAGCAGCTGAGTTCCTACAGGGAGTTCACTCTGCTAGTTTTAAGGACTACTCAGTGGGCCATAGGCGGTAAGGGAATTTAATTTTTCATTTGCCTTAGTTTCCCACATCACCATGGCAAGCATTTAAACCCCTTCCCTTTGTTCTTGGGTAGCCAGGAGTGTCAGAGGAATATCACACATATTCCACATGGGGGTGGGGATGCTAGCTTGTACTTTGCCCTCAGTTTGCATTATGCCCCCTCATCATCAACCAAGGTTGAAGGACTTCAACAAATAATTTATTGAAGTGAGAAAAGCATAAATCATGAAGTTATGGGAAAACATTTATTTCTATTATTTGGAAAGAAATTCATTCTCTTTTATTTCCGCTTCTATTTTTCTTATTTGGCATAGTGATGACACTAAACATTTTTGATGGAGCCATTTAACACATTTATCCTCCTTCTGCTCTTTGCTCAAGGTAGAAACAAATGTACCCTCAAGGAATTGTCTAACATGTCTCGTCACCTACAGCTATTTAATTAAAGAATATTTATTGAGTACTTGCCGCAATCAAAACATATAAAAAGTATAAAACCTAGTCCCCCTCACTCAAACGCTCTGTAACTTAATTGGCATGCAAAAAGTGTTGACAAAAAGTGCTAGGCAATGTACTTAAGCCAAATAAACACACAGTTGTAATGTGTACAGGTGCATAGAGCAGAGAAAGGTTGTTAAGGATCTAAGTACTCAAGAGAGACCTCCGTAATTATCTGAGAATTCAGTGTCCTCAACTGAATCTCAAAAGATGACTATAAATCCAAGGAACGGAAGTCACCACCAAGTTAACATCATTGTCTCTAGTACTGTTGCATCTTCAGGTCGATTTGCTTAAAAGATCATATTACTATTAGATTTTGGACTATTAGTCATTGGATGGTAAGCAGTGATTAAAGCCCTATAATAAATCAATCAAAAAATACCATCATCTGAACTATGTGGCACACAAAGAACAATTATATTTTTATATATTAGTGTTGCTTTCGTATCTTATCCTATGAAAGAACAGAAATACACTGATATTGAGATGTCAGCACATCTGCTGCAATTTTCAGCTTGTTTGGCATTCTTTCAAACTATAAAGTCTATCTCCTTTATCAAAATCAAATCTCTGTGTTAATTCCCTTAAGGTACAAGAGATTCCTGTTATGCCTGATAGGGTTTAAGCTGCATGCAGCATATGTTCCTGGGAAAATGTTTATAATTGCAGATGCCTTCTCCAGAAACCCACTGGCAGACAAATGTACTACAGAGACTGGAGAGCTCAGGGAGATATGTAAAAAAGCTGGAAAAGCTAACCTACCATCTTCCATCTGCAGAAAGGATCTGTAATAGCTGACTAGAGTTGATTAACTGCTGCAAGCTGTTTGGGAATGTTGTCAGACAAGGTTTTGCCAAGTATAAAAGTGATATAGCAGTGCCAGAGGGCTGAGGTTTGATGATCACATATGGTCATCACATATTCTTCTTCCATCCATGAATGATGACACACCCGGAGCCAGATGCTTGACATGAATACATTTTTTTTTTTACATTCCATAAATAGAGATGTGAACCCAGTGGCTTCAGTTCTAAAATGAAGTCAATTTTCCATACCTATACCTCTGGTGATCTATTTCAGAAAACAAAAAGATGCCACAAACTGGTGAATATTTTACTTCAAAGGGAAAGATAAGTCATTCACTTTGTACTAAAAGAACACTTACTCGCTTTAAAGCAGTGTACTTAAACAGGGTAAATGACCATTTTAAACGTTTTGTACCACAAGTCTGGAAGAGTTATACACATAAAATGAATTTTTATGTGTTAAATTCTTTCTAAAACTATAAGAATTAAATAAAATCATGAACATTTGGAAATAGTAAATTCTTCAGTAAACAGGAAAATACACAAAATCCTTCTAAATTAAAAAAAACACAGTAAAAATTTAAAAACACATCAATTCTCCTTTAATCAAGCCTGTCCCATGACTAATGGAAATAAGATTTTCATTAACAATTTGAAAATAAATTTTCAGATATGTATATAAATATATGAATGCATATACACACATGTACACGTGTATACATAGATGTGTATGCACTATGTAGATATATATGTATGGATATGTGCATACATTTATGTTGTTCATTTAAACCTGAAAATAAACCGAATAGATTATCTCTCTGGATTACCACGTTCATGATAGGTAATATCATTTTATACTATTAGTGTCAAAACAAAGGATAATTATTATAATTTAGTCACCTATAGGTAAGAGTAGTGAATTAAGTCTACAAAGACACATGTATAGATCCTATTTATTCAGAAGTATATATACGAAATGGAATCACTGATACCTGTAAACCTGATAAAGTATACATAAGAATTTATTCTTAAGCTCTATGTCCAAGGCCGTTGTTAGATTTCCATCCTAGGGCTTTCATACTTGAGTGCTTCACTTGCCCTGACACCTGAATACATGATCCAATCTGTGTAAAGTTTCCAAGAATTCCTAGTCCATCAAATAATAGCAGAGAGTAGAAAGGGCTCATTTGGAGCATAGTTTATAAGTGGCCTACCACTACTTAAAAAAACAAAACAAAACTGCAGGAACAAAACAAAACCCTCAAATCCAGGAGTTTTGCCCAGAGACAGATCAAATCAAATGTTATTACAGAGGTTGGGGTCAGTGTAAGGGTAGAGAAAATCAGAAGGAGAGGTTCAGAAGTTCCACAGTATCACTTAAGAATTGTTTATCCCAGTTCCTAAGATTTGTTTAGTGATGCCAGTACAACAACAGAGTAGAAATCATGTCAAAATTGGTAGAAGTACAATGTAGGTTCAAGTCCCATCCCAGCCATTTACAAGCTCTGTGATCCTGGGCAAACTGCTTAATCTCTCTGAGATTGTTTTGTCATGGGTTAAATAAAACGATGCCTATGTCTCTAAGTTTTTGTAAGGATTACATCAAATACTATGTCAAAATATCTACCACAAGGACTACCTCATGGTAGTCATTAAATAAACAACTGCTATTATTAGAAAGCAGAGAGGTAGAACTTACCTTTCCAGAATGGATCTCAGTTGATAGTCTCTAAATTTCAGGACTAAAACTTGATCCATGGCACCAACATTGAAGTTCCTAATTCAAACCTTAGTCTTGTCCCCAAAACTCTTTTCCGTCCCTAACTTACCACTAATGGATCCACCCCTAAATAATCACGGATATCCTTTGTGACCTTTCTCTCAACCCTCCATTTTTGTCAAAGAGAACAGAACTAACAGTAGTACACTATGAAAGACTGATTCTAATATTTAAAAATTTCCACAATTGTGAAAATAGGTTTTAGAATATCTTAAATCATAAACTGTTTATGGAAAATATTTTTTGTGAACCTTAAAAAAAGGCCCCATGCACTCTTTTACCAATAATAAAATATAAATAGAAAACATTTAGTTTTACCTGTACCTCCGGATATACAAGGAGAATGAAGGAAATGATGTAAAATCAACTTTTCCCGGGCTTGGAATGCCCAATCAATACCAGATATTACTAATGACTATTTCAGTTTTTAAGCATTACCAGTGAGTTTATTAATATGAAGGGAGAATAAAGTGAAGAAAGTTTAGAGGTGAAATAGAAAAGAAAGTGTCAGAAAAGTAAACTAGTATCCGGGTTCACTAGTTTACCTTAGTAAAAATTCATTCTAACAATATATTTTAATACTCCCTTTAAAAATTTGCACTGGATACTTTTCAATATAGTCATTTCTCAGCACTCTGTAGATACTTTATCTCTGTAAACGAACTTCATTTTAATTACATAAAGCAACTTTTATTATATCAGCTATTAGTGGCATCACTTATTCTGCTAAAATGGGTATTTTGTTGGCATCAGCAGGATTTCTGTTTTTTTGTTTTCTAATCCAAAGAAAGGCATGAGTGAGAATAATTTATAAAATAACCTCTTCTCAGCATTCACAAAGACATTTTATAGCTATGAGGAATGAGTTGAGAGTGAATGAGAAGTTAGGCAGGATGGAGAGGAAAGGTCTCCATTCAGGCATTCAGCTCACTGATGTTTTACATCATCTCCTTTAAAAAAATGAATTTTAAACCTTTTTAGGCATCATTATTTAGAGACTGTTTTAAAATCTTCTCTAAGTATTGTTTCCAAGAGTTACTCTTTTATCCCTTTATCACAGAAAGAACACAAAATTAACCATAGTTCTTATTCTTATCCTTGGCATTTCTGCCTTGGAATTTTCAGGGCTCTTGTAATTTTTTAAAAATTTTACTTGAATAAAAAATGAATCTTCTTTTTCATTATAAAATGTGAGCAGTTTTCAACCATTTTCCTGGTAGAGAACATGGAAATTAATGATGTCATGTGATGAGCAGATTAATAGTAATATCTCCAAGGGTTTTCAAAGTGTGATGTAATACTTTTTATTTCCTTTATGTCATTCTTTAACAGTTAGACCTGATAATTATACACCAGCAGGTGGAGCTTCTTGGAAGTAAGTATATTATATTCTATATGTATTAAAATCATTAAAAATATTTTAGGCTTCAGAAATTTTATTACATTTAAATATCTTATAAACAATACTGTTAAATGTTGAGGATAAAATTGGATCAAAAGCATCAGTAAGTCACGGTGCCTGGGTGGCTTAGTAGGTTAAGTGTCTGCCTTTATGATCTCATAATTCATGAGTTCGAGCCCCGTGTTGGACTCTGTGCTGACAGCTCAGCACGTGGAACCTGTTTTGGATTCTGTGTCTTCCTCTCTCTCTGCTCCTCCCCCTCTCTGTCTCTCAAAAATTAATAAGCATTAATTTTTTTAAAAAAAGATCAGTAGGTCTACTGTTTAAAATAAATATTTGAAGTGAACTGTCAGTCTGATATAGCTAAACCTATAAGCATGAACTCTCCAACAAATCTTTGGTAATATTATTATCAGGAATCTAACATTTTTATCTTAAAATAATAAAAGATGTTATCATTTCCATGCTTGGTAACAATTTATATTTTCTTAATAATTTCATAAATGGAAATCAAGGTTGAAACTAAGTGACAAAAACCTATTCTACTCTTGAAACTAATATTGCACTATATGTTAACTAGCTGGAATTTAAATAAAAACTTGAAACAAAAATGATAAATAACAAAAACCCATCGAACAAAATTTGATATTTTATCATTTGCCAGTGATTCATCAAATGGCATGTTATTTAATAGTACACAGATTTTCAAAGATCACTGACTGAATTCAAATTAACTACTTTTTGTCCTTAAATTTTCTTTATCTAAAATATGTCAAAATCATAATACACAGATAGCAAGATAACTCGCAGCTGTAGATATACTGCCAAATAGATTTTAAACAAAATCATTACTATGCTGCGAGTCATCCCAGTAAATTCCACAGCAGTGATAGAATTATTATTTGAGGATTCCATTCTTCACAGCCTTGCTTCGTTAGTTGAAAAGTGGAGCTACATATTCCCAATAAGTCATATATCTGGAATCAAAATTTAATCATCACACAGCTTTGCTCTCAATTTACTTTGATTTCCATAGCTAAGTTTAGAGCATGGAAGTAGAGTTGGGTGAAGAAGATACCACATACTTAATCATTAGCTACTGTATTTTCTTTTAATAACACTACCCCTTTTACTTATTTAAAGATATAATACTAGGCAATAGCATTGTTCTGGTGATTTTCTTTTTCTCTTCCCCTTAGTGATACTTGGCACTGAGACCTCCAACAAATATGAGATTAAAAACAGTTTGGGACAAAGAATTTACTTTGCAGTGGAGGAAAGCATCTGCTTCAATCGTACTTTCTGTTCTACGCTTCGAGCTTGCACTCTGAAGGTCATGGATAACTCAGGTCGGGAGGTGATTACAGTAAACAGACCGTTGAGGTGTAACAGCTGCTGGTGCCCTTTCTACCTGCAAGAGGTTAGTCACTGGCTCTGGGTGTACTTTTATTTTTCTACATTTGAAAATGTTGGCAATAATTTATTTAACAAATGGCATTCATTTGGGGCTATAAGGCAATTCATCTATTAGTTGCGCCTTAGGGTCCAAATAGCTTAAGGGCTGTGGTTCACAGCCCTTAGTTTTAGTACAGAATCTCACATTCGATTCATTCATTTATGACAAACTTCAAATTTTGGCAAAGACTATGTTATTGTTCTGAAGGGAATCATTTCCTTATTTTATTCTAATATATAATAGATTTTCATCATTATCTAATAGATCTATAACTTTCACTGACAAAATGCAGTTAAGTTGATATGGAGCCTTAACTTATTTTGATATCTTTGGTATCATAACATCTCTATGAGCTAGAAAAATAGGTTTTACTCTTCACATTTAGCAATGAAGGGAACTAGGGCTTAGAGAGCAGAGGTAACTTACCTACAATCACACATCCAGGAACTAAATCATGAATGGGGCTTGATCCAGGTTCCTTATTCAAGCCCAAGTACTCTACTTAGCACAATGAGAAATAAATGTTAATATAGGTTAATAGTTAATATAGGGAGTTAATTAGGGAAGTTTCTGGAATATATATTGAAGCTAATTCTCCAACTATTTATAGGCAATTACCTGGCTAAGTAATAAAATGGCTAGATACTCATAATGGTGTCCAAGAATTTCCATCCTCCTACTAAGGATATTTAAGATCTAATATCCTTTAAGATGGTATAGTCAGTATAATATATTCATTTGAATGTTTCTGATAATTGATGGTTTATTTCATAGTAGTCCAATATCACATATGTTAAAAATAAGATGTATTTGATATCCACTAAGAATTTTTTAAAATTTGGTCAAAATCAAGCCAATTATTTTAAACGTGATCCAGAACAAATGTATATAATTCTTTCTTTTCAGTTTTTTTTTTATTTTAAGTGTAATTGACATACAATGTTACATTAGCTTCAGGCATACAATTTCGTGATTTGACAGGTCAAATCTATATAATTCTAGGTACTTGAATCCACCTTTGTTGATCCAAGAGCACTGCAGACATACACATATGACTATGAACTTAATAAATTTAAAAAAAAAGACAAAAGGAAAACAGATTATAAGGAGTTGGTTTGATTTAAAAGCAAACAATTGTCACTATTTTTACCCACCTCTGGCTTATTTCACAACAGACTTGGTTTGACTATATAAACATGTTGAAATACAATATGATGAAAAATAAAGAAATTAAGGGAATGAAGGTAATGGGGTACAGTACTAAAGTAAAGCCTAAAACTGCAATTACAAGTCTATCACACTTTGGAAGAAGTGAAACAGAAATCAAATTGGTGTGTAAAACTGTAACTTCACAAGAAGCATTTGTTTTTAATTGAACACAGAGAAGCTAGAAGTTGACAGCCTGAAGGGCAAACAATCATGAATAGTTAATAACTGGTAAGTGAGAGTTAAAAATAGATGTGTGTTGTGGCACCACATTAGAGGGAGCGGATTGGAAATACCTCACAGGAAACAATGCTAAACCAACTGCCACACACGGAACAAAATGGCAAGGAAGCCAATATCCCAGGGTCAGAAGACAGTTCTGGGATAGGTTCTCTTTAGGAAAGTAAGATCAAAGACATGAATTTTTAGTGAATAATGACAAACAAATACCTATATAGTGAATTTCTTTGTTTCTATAAAATATCAAGAAAATCCACTATTGTGCTTCCTTAGAAGCAGATATTTAGAATATTTTGTAGAATGCAAAAATAAACTTTATAAAAGTTACTGTTTAGAAGGAAATTGACTTGTTCTAAAATTAAAATACAATAACCATAGAAAAATCTTATTTTATTATTATCTCTTCTTGCAGTTAGAAATTCAAGCCCCTCCTGGTACTATAGTTGGTTATGTTGCACAGAAGTGGGACCCCTTTCTGCCTAAATTCACAATCCAAAATGCAAACAAAGAAGATATTTTGAAACTTGTTGGTCCTTGTGCAACATGTGGCTGTTTTGGCGATGTGGATTTTGAGGTATGGTTGACAGAGTGAAGGAAGTTTTCACTTAGGTCCTGATTGTTTGCAACATAAGTCAGTGTTAAAATATTCAAATCATGAAATGTATCTGAAATAAATTTAGAAAATAATATATTTGGGAAATAAGGTAATAAGCCTATATTGTGTGTGCCAATTAGAACTCATAATTTCAGAGATACTAAGTTCAAGTTAAAAAAAATACTAAGGAGCACCTGGGAGGCTCAGTTGGTTTAGCATCAGGTCAGGATCTCATGGTTCCTGAGTTTGAGCCCTAAATCGGACTCTGCACTGATAGTGTGGTGCCTGCTTTGGACTCTTTGTCTCCCTCTCTCTCTCTGCCTCTCCACCACTAGCATTCTCTCCCTCTCTCAAAAATAAATAAACTTAAAAAAGAGTAAGAAAATAAAAATAAAGAACATACTAAAACGTCTTTGATTTATGTGGAATTACAGCACCCATGGTATAAAGTAAATATATATTAGTTTAGAATCACCCTACGTTTTATCATCTTTCCTATAGCTCTGGTGGTAACATATCCTACTTCAGATCTCATCTAAGAAGTACATTCCATTAAAACATCACTCATTTAAAAGACTTGCTAAGTTCATTTTATAAAACAATCTACATTTACATAAACATTTTTGTATAAACTCAATGTTAAAAAACTATTAATAGGTAGTTGCAAATTCAATTGTGCAATATGAACTGTGTTTACTGCTTTTCCTATAAATACCTTTTAGGCAAAGGAGAGCTAATTTTTTTTTAATTCTTTTGTTTTTACATTTATTTACTTTTAAGAGACAGAGTGAGAGAGAGTGTGAGCGGAGGAGGTGCAGAGAGAGAAGGAGACACAGAATCCGAAGAAGGCTCCAGGCTCTGAGCAAGCGTTCCCACAAACCGTGAGATCATGACCTGGGCCAAAGTCGGACACCTAACCGACTGAGCCACCAAGCGTCCCAAAGGAGAGCTAATTTAAAGTGTCTATTTATTATTCATCTCTTCCTTCATTCATACATTCATGTATATCCCACCTAGGACATTCAGTTTGAGAAACTTTAGGGACCACTATTTACCTCAAACATGATGGAAATTTTACAAAGTGAACTGTTCTAACTCCACCCCACTCCAAAAGGACTTGGCAAGCTTTCCTAAGACTAAAAGCTAAAAATATGCCCTATGATTGAGAAATAAAAGTTTTAGTAAAGGTATATATGGATATCCTAAGTAACCTTCTCTATTTATCTTTTCCCACTATACACAAAGTGAAATTTTATATTGAATCCTTTCAGCCTTTAAATGGGAAAGAGGGCAAGCAAATGAATAGTTGATAAAGTTTAACTGTAGTCTTCTTCTAGCTGAGAAGGACTATAGATTTTTTATGTCAAATTAGTCTGAACTTCCTGTGTGCTACATTTGCTGAGAGGATTTTTTTTTTTTCTTTTTTTAGTGAAAAAGAGGACTTAGGTTTAGTTTTGAAGGAATGCCCTAGTAAATTTTGGAGTATAATATAAATATGAGATTAAGCAATGGCTGATAATATTTAAATGTTAGTAATTCTAAAATCTTAACAATAAAGATTTAAAGTTTACAAATTGTACTTATAAATGAATTTCTTCTAAAAGTCTTTTCTCAAATCTTTATCAAAATATTTTCTTTTTCTTTTTTTTCATTTTGTTGTTGCTGTTTTTATTGAAGTATTGAGGTTTAAAATCTGGACTTACGGTAATGGAATTACCTTCAAGGTCAGACGATGTAATTGAGACTATGTACCTGCTGCCATCTTGTGGTAGCCTGGCCTTAATTATTTATTGCTTTTATTTTCTCAATCTGCATACAAAAAGCAAGGAAAAAAAAGAATTATGATAGATCAAAAAATTGTCAGAAAAGCAAAATTCCTGAAGAGTAAACTAAAAAGTTAAATCTACGAACTTATGCTTATATACAGGAATGAATGACAGAATTGTCATTTAAAGATGATGAATAAAATAATTCATATCTCTTGAAGTAAACATACTAAGATACGTAAAACCATTCATCTCACCTTCAGATTTAACATCTCTTATTTTCTTTTCAAAGGTGAAGACCATTAATGAAAAACTTACAATTGGGAAGATTTCAAAGTACTGGTCAGGATTTGTAAATGACGTCTTTACCAATGCTGACAACTTCGGAATTCATGTGCCCGCAGATTTAGATGTGACAGTCAAAGCAGCAATGATTGGTGCTTGTTTTCTCTTTGTAAGTATGGTCTTTTTTTAACTTATTTTTTATTTTAGAGAGAGAGAGCATGTATGAGCCAGGGAGAAGGGCAAAAAGAGAGAATCTTATGCAGGCTCCATGCTCACTGTGGAGCCCAACTTGGGACTCAATCCCACAACCTTAGGCCAAAATCAAGAGTCTGACACATGACCAACTGAGCCAATCAGGCACCCCTGTAAGTATGGTCTTAAAAGCAGATGAGTGATTTATTTCTCACCCTTTCCTTGTTAATCACTATAGAGCCAATCTCATTTTACACGGCACTATGTTTATTCCAAGGAGGCTTAGGCATAGAAGGCTAATTTGAGACCAGATCTTCAGAAGTCAGAATTTAGGAGCCTGCATTTCTAATAGAAAGCCCTTCTCCACTGACCCTTATACATGATCTTTCTCAAGAATTGGTTCCCTGTTGGGGCACCTGGATTGCTCAGTGGAGTAAGCTTCAACTTCGGCTCAGGACATGATCTTGCAGTTAGTGTGTTTGAGCCCCACATCAGGCTCTGTGCTGACAGCTCAGAGCCTGGAACCTGCTTCAGATCTGGGCCTCTCTGCCCCTTCCCTGTTCATGTTCTGTCTTTCTCTCTCAAAAATGAATAAATATTAAAAAATTTTAAAGAAAAAAAAGAAGTGGTGCCCTGTCATGTCCTACTCATCATTTCTTCAAAATCCTAATTAACCCTTCTCTTTCAATTTCAATTCCAATTTTTAGCTCATTTTCACTTTCATTGAAAAAATATGTAAATATCACATTATTTATCCTGGGTAAATTTCAGAACTGTTTCATTGTTTAACAATGAACTAAGTGACATTCAGAATGTGAAAAGTACATTTTTCTTCCTTTCCAACATGAACATGGACACATGAATTCACAGGGATGAGTTAATATTTAACAGTTTCCATTATTACAAAGACATTAGGTCTTTGTCCTTTCTTTCCAACTTATGATTTCATTAAAAACATTTTCTTCCTGGTGTGGAGATTGGTGATAGGAGAACAGAAGTCAAGTAACCCCTATGCCGAATGTTTGGCCACCTCCTATTCCTGGTATTTCCTCTAATATCTCCCTCACACACATACACACCCTTTTCCCAATACCTTTATTTGGCCTTACTGAAAAACAGATCATCTTGGAGCTCCTGGGTAACTCAGGCGGTTAAGCATCTGACACCTGATTGTGGCTCAGATTGTGGCTCAGGTCATGATCTCAGGAACTGTAAGTTCTGTGCTCTGTGCTGACAGAGTGGAGTCTGCTTGGGATTCTCTGTCTCCTTCTTTCTCTGTCCCTCCCCTGCTCATGTTCTTTCTCTCTCTTTCAAAATAGATAAATACACATTAAACATTTTTTAAAAAATAAAAAACAGATCATCTTTAATCTGCCCTACCCACATATTATTTAACAAACAGTAAAATGTACTGTCAACAATTCACTATGCACTATAAATTGGAGAAGCATTGATCCAGATAACATCCCAATAATCTGAGAAGTTAACTTTTTAACTCCATTGTCTCAGGGAGAAACATACTTACTGAGAATATTTAATGCTCCCGTCCATTTCCTCTTTCTTTTCCTTTTTACCATAATATTATAAAACATTTGCACTTTTTTGGGGGCTACTATAGCTTTTAAAACAATTTCTCACATGTATTAGATAACTACATCGATACAAGATAAATTACTTACTTCTACATATAATCTGGTAGGCAGAATTATGTTTTTAATTTTTAATGTTTTTATTTATTTTTGAGAGAGAGAGAGACAGAATGCAAGCAGGGGAGGGGCAGAGAGAGAGAAGGAGACACAGAATCTGAATGAAGCAGGCTCTAGGCTCCGAGCTGTCAGCACAAAGCCCAATGTGGGGCTCGAACTCCTGAACAAACTCATGACCTGGGCCAAAGCCAAACACTTGTTGGACCGAGCCACCCAGATATCCCATGCTTTTCATTTTTAAATACCGTGTCCATTTTATTAGCTTGTGTTGAGAGAAAGAGAGACCATCAAAAAGCAGCTGGTATGAGAAAGCCCTGATCCAAACAGCAAAATTCACAAGTATTACCGAATTTTTAGTCTTCTCTGGTTTGAGGCTACCACTCCATAACCCAAAGCACTAATTACCCTTCACAAGTTCCCTCTGGTATAGTTTTCAGTACTTCCTCAGATGACTACCTGGTTACCAACCACATAGTCCATGAGGATGTATCTAATGCTTGTTCCAAGGTCAGTGTCTATTACAAAGCCCCACACTGACATAGAATGGCCTGCAATTGAAGTCTGCACTGTCCTGATCACCTAAGATTTTGACTGATGATAGACACCCTGCTGATTCAGATAAGATTTCTAAGTAACTTGTACTCTGAAAACTTGATGTGTAAGTGTCATAAAGCTTGAAACTTTTTTGATTTTCCTCTTACTGATAAATCACATATTCCTGGAACACCACTGGGAAACCTAATTGCTTTATATAATCAAAGCTCATGTGTGAGACTCCTGATCTTAATTGTTGCCTTTTTGTAAATTCACTCATCCTCAGTTTATTTATTTGTAGGATTTTATGTTCTTTGAACATTCACTGGCTGGATTATAACAAGCAAGATGACACAAACGATTAAGTATGCAAGAACATGTTTCAGTAAGTGACGTTTAAATGATCTCTTTCCCTTTGAAGATGTCTATATTTGACGCTGTCTAACCCTTTTTCATTTTCTTCTAGAAATCCCTTGGGCTCTGGATTTCATTTCTGAATGGTTTGCATATTTGCTTTTTTGTAACAAATGTTAATTGTTATATTTATTAAAGCATAATGTAATGAAGCAATTATCTGCTTATCAATGCATGTTAGCTAAAGAAAAGATTACTGGCCTGAGCACAGGGTTGCTTTGAGAGACTGTCATTCTTTTTAAGCCTTTTGAAGTTGTTGCATGGGTAAGCATGAAAGATGAGAACTAAGGCTTGCAGCATCACTGATGAAAATTCTATGTTTAGAGAGCACTTTGAAGTTTTTCTGGTACTAAGGCTGGTAACTAATCAAAAGGACTGGATTTCAAAAATATTTTTTCCTAAATAGTCTTTAGACTTTGTTTATTAATATTATTGTAGTGAGAAATTTTTACTTTATATCAGAAAAGCTAAAAGTTGGAAGAATAATATGTTTATAGTGAGGAGGAAGGTAGATAAAATCAATTGGTTCTAGTGGTAAGGAGCTAATATTTCCAGAAGTGGGCTAATATTTACAAACCCAAGCATGGTGTAAATACATACCCACACCAGACTTAAATGAGCATATAAACAGACTTTTAAGTTAGTAAAAGCAGTGGTATAGAGCAGGAAATTTATCTATTACAGTGAAAGTTCAATCAGAAAAGGAATCTAGCTAGGGCTCTGAAAAAATGCACAAATCCAGGACTTAAAAATAAGTAATAAAAATAAATAAAACGTTAATACATGAGGCAAATACAGAAGTCAGGGCATACAGTTAATTCAATAATTAATGCCTTCTACTCTAACATTTTTGGAGTCCTCTAGATAACTACATCTAGTTATCCACTCGTTTCCAAAGCCCACACAAGAAGTTCTTAGAATTCCTTTTTTAGGAATGACGATAGTTCCTCCCTTTTCAAAAGGAGGAAACAGACTTGTTTTAAGCAAAGCACCATGTAGCCATTTGGAATTATACAAATATTACCCAAATTATACAAATACTTTAGAATTACACAAATACTACCCAATTTCTAAACACTTACAAAGGTGTTTAGACAAACTTCCAGCAATCTCCTACTTGGTAAAGGACATGTGTTCCAAGCATCTGTAACTAAGTTAATTACTTGGAATTAAGAATCTATCATCCAGAAATAACATTGTATGTGTTAGTTAAGTTCCCAAGATAGCCCACAAATAGCAATTTAGTGCTAGGTTCTGGGATAACGATTCTAGGTTGTATTAAGATGAAAAGGAAAAGAATCACCTTCTTGAGAGCCCCCTCCGTCGACATGCCTCGGCAAACCATAAAAAATGGACTCGTGGGGCAGAGTAGTTTAAGCATTGAGCACCGAAAATATAGCCGTGCTTCAAAATCACAGCCAATCTTTCTCCCTGTGACCCCATCCATTCCTTCAGTGTGACCTGCATGTGAGGAACAGTACAGTCACAGAAGCAAGCGAGTCCTGTATGTGATAGACACTGTCTTGAGTCTAGCCCTGCTGTTTGGTAGCTATGTATCTTCACATCTATCCTGCAGTCTTTCTAAACCTTCTCCAGTTTCCCATTTGTCACTTTGCAGAGCTACGGTGACAGGTAAGGGGATCACAGTGTTTCCACCCTTTCCCCTTTGTCTATTCTAACTGATGGGTATATGACTTATGGTCAGTCATTCATAACCAGCTAAAGGACATGGCATTAAAAAAATTTTTTTTATTATTTATTTTTTGAGTGACAGAGTGTGATTTTTTGAGGGGCCGGGGGAGAGGGGGTAAGGGAGACACAGAATCTGAAGCGGGCGCCAGGCTGCGATGTCAGCACAGAGCCTTACGGGGGGGCCTGAACTCATGAACTGTGAGATCATGACCTGAACTGAAGTCAGACACTTAACTGACTGAGCCACACAGGCCCCCCAGGAAGTGGCGTTTTTAAAGCAGATGCTTATTAACTAATAAAATGTAGAAAAATTGCTAACATTTTCTAAGGGCTTATCACATGTCAGGCATGTGCTTCCTATGATTTCCTGGTAGGGGGACAAAATGAAGTAAACACAAAGGAAAATCAAGCAGTAGGTGGAAGACTGCCTGGGATCCTATCTTTCCCCCTCCCCGTCCTGCTCCATGTCCCAGATTTCTTCCTAATGGGTGTACCTGCTTCATACTTTCTTCTTGTATATCTTGTACTTTTGATTTCTAAAGTGTAACACTTTTTAACTGGTGTCACAACAGCAGCATTTGAGATTCTCATGGTGGGGAAAATGGGAGAAAAATCCTACTTCAAAATACTACATTTTAATATGACCAATATTTGGATTAAAAAAATATTTAAATGAACCCTAAAACTAGTAAAAAGTTTAAAACACTTACTTTTTTTTTATGGGCCAGTGGTTGTGCATTGTTTTTGCTCTTTCTTTTTTTTAATATAATTTATTGTTAAGTTGGATAACATACAGTGTATACAGTGTGCTCTTGGTTTCAGGGGGTAATTTCCCATGATTCATTGCTTACATACAACACCCAGTGCTCATCCCAACAAGTGTCCTCCTCAGTGCCCATCACCCATTTTGCCCTCTTCCCCCGACCTCCTCAGTTTGTTCTCTGAATTTAAGAGTCTCTTATGGTTTGCCTCCTCTCTCCCTGTTTGTAATTATTTTTCCCCTGCTCCTCCCCCATGGTCTTCTGTTAAGTTTCTCAAGTTCTACAGGTGAGTGAAAACATATGATACTGTCTCTCTCTCACTGGCTTATTTCGCTTAGTATAATACCCTCCAGTTCCATCCACATTGCTGTAAATGGCAGGATTTCAAACTTTCTCATTACCAAGTAGTATTCCATTGTATATTCAAACCACATCTTCTTTATCCATTCATCAGTTCATGGTCTTTTAGGCTCTTTCCATGATTTGGCTATTGTTGAAAGTTCTGCTATGAACATTGGGGTACATGTGCCCCTATGCATCAGCACCCCTGTATCCTTTGGATAAATTCATAGTAGTGCTATTGCTGGGTCATAGGGGAGTTCTATTATTAATTTTTTGAGGACCCCCCACACTGTTTTCCAGAGCAGCTGTACCAGTTTGCATTCCCACCAACAGTGCAAGAGGGTTCCTGTTTCTCCAAATCCTCGCCAACATCTGTTGTTTCCGGAGTTGTTAATTTAGCCACTGACTGGTAAAACACCTACTTCTAATGGAGACTCCCTAAAGATGAAAGTCCTTCTTAGAATACAGCACTTATTTTATTTTATTTTTTATTTTTTAATGTTTTATTTATTTCTGAGAGAGAGAGAGAGACAGCGAGCAGGGGGGAGAGTCAGAGAGAGAAGGAGATACAGAATCCAAAGCAGGCTCCAGGCTCTGAGCTGTCAGCACAGAGCCCAACGCAGGGCTTAAACCCACAAACCATGTGATCATGACCTGAGCCAAAGTCAGATGCTTAACTGACTGAGCAACTCAGGCGCCCCTACAGCACTTATTTTAAAGCTGGCTGTATTAAAACAAACCTTGCTGTAGTACTTTGCTGCTGAATTGCACTCTATGGCAAATTAAGATCCATCCTTTCTCGTCTTACTTATTAAAGGTGAAATTAATTTTTACATGTCTTCTGTGCTCTATCTTTTCTTTTCCCTTTCCCACCAAACAGGAGTCCACGAGAGACTGGCGAGACTCTCACTTTTAAGTAAAATATTCAGTAAAAAGCATATAGCTCTATGAGGAAGGTCCCTTGTACATCACAGTTTTCTGGTTTACTGCCTCTTTTAGGCCCCACTACACTATCTGAACACAGGTTCCAACCCTATTTATTCTGAGATGTACTAGGAAAGACGACCAAATTCAAATGCCTCCCATTTATTCATCCATTCTTTCATCAAGTTAAGAAATATTTATTGACTCTTTCCAATATGCCAAAAATATAGTGCCCCCCACTGTCGACCTCAAAGCATCGGGGACCCGGGGCAGCAAAGGAACTGAGAAAAAGATAGCAGTATAGTGGGGGCACAGGGGACCCTGAGCCAACCGCCTGAGGTCCAGAACTTTATTTTACATCATCGCATATACCTTAACAGAGATATGAATCAACAATGATTAACTACAAGAGCTTAGTGAAGTATGGCAGCAATGTACATCTGGTGAACACTGTGCAGGAGAACACTGTCTCAGCAGAAAAGCAAGATGTGATAGGAGCCTTTCTGGCAGGATGAAACACCAAGAGGGGAGTGACGGCACTGTGCTATTTACTGATGACTTCCCTTAGGCAAAACATCCCTATCTGCGTACTAAAGAACAGGACACATTCCCAAGGGCATTTCACTCAAGTCCTCTAAGGTTGTATTTAACCTTGTGGTCTCAAGTTTTTTCAGAGATCTTGGACCCTGAATGAATATGCGCCTGTGGTGATGATGCTGCTGTTTCCTACACCCCACTTTGGTGCAGCTTATAGTTTCAAGAGATTCTTATTAATACACTAATGACACACATAAAGGTTGGACTTTAAGTATAAGACTTTATAAAGGATGGACAGGGTGCTAAGTATGGCAGAGGTATTTGCTGGTTGTGAGGGAGTAACTGTAGATTTAATATATAAACAATAAGTGGAGCAGAAGGAAGAATGTGGTTTGGCTGAGTTCTGTGATGGGGGAGGATGAAGACATGACAATCTCATGTGACATAAAGAAGGCCAGTGACTAAAGTTCAGACAGTGAAGTGGAATATGGTAGGGGATGGAGATGAATAGGGCCTGTAGGCCATGTTAAAGATTCTAGACTCTGTATCATCAGCAAAGCATCTGATGAAAGTTGATAAGAAGAGAGTTAAAGGATTAAAGTTTAGATTGGTAAGAGTATAGGAAAGGATGGACCAATTAGTAGCTTACCAAAGTGGTTTAGGTGACAGCTAATGGTAGCTTAGACATGTGGCACTCATACAAAGGAAGAGAAGTGAGCAGATTCAAGATACATTAAGGGGTAAATTACTCGATGTTCAATTGGAAATTAAGATTTGAGGGAAAAAGGGAATTCCCAGCCTATACCATTTACTGAGAGAGAGGAAATTACAAGAGGATCTGGTTTAGGGATGAAGAGCATGGGTTAAGTTTTAAACACACTGATTTTGTAATTCCTTTAAGTTTTCCAGAAGGAGATGTCAAAGAGGCAAGTGGGCATCTTTTCATCTAGTATATTTCTGAAGAGAGAGATGAATACATAAGACCTCTACAGACACACAGAGATCTAAATAATCATTGCTTCACTTCAAAGACATCACTAAAAAATTTTTAAACATGCATCGTCCATGAGTTTATTCATTCATTTATTTAATTAGTATTTTCTGGA